GCTCCTCGGGCACGGCTTTCCCCCTGTGCCTCAGTGCAGGAAGGAAGGAAGGAAGCCAGCCTCGCTGGCGATGCATGTGCCATGGTTGGGGGTTTCCCCTGTGTTCTTCGGGCAGTCTGTCTGCTCCAGGAGATCTCAGATTCCCCTATGCAGAACGTCCACTGCATCCCATCAGCGTATTTCTGTAAAGCTAGGTTACTGGGCTGCTTTACATCTGTTCTGTTCCTTGGGCTGGCTTATGTGTATTCCTCTGGCTCTCAGTCAACCAGAGCCATTCTTACCAGCCGCAGATGGCAGCAGCCCACTTGAGTCGCTCCAGAAATCATTTTTCTGCCAGTGAGGGTGGCCCCATTAGACCAACACCCTTCCAGGCTGTCTGCACTCGCAGCGCAGCGAGGGCTGCACAGAAGCCAGAGGTGGGTTGTGACCAGAGTCAGGGGACGGAGTCGGGTGCCTTAACTGGGGTCAGGCTCGGGCACTTCGGCACGATGAAGATCGCTGCAGGCAGCGGATGTCGTTGGTAACGAGCTCCGTGTGATGAATCCCTTAGGATGCAGCCAGAGGGATCGGAGCATCTTCTGCTGGGGGGCACCGACCTTTAAAAGCCTCATCTTTTCCCAGTTACGGCACGTGTTGGCTGTTCTTTGCTTAAAAATAAATACATCGGAAACCCAGGATCCAATACAAGGATTTTTCCTAGTCGCGGGTTTAATGCCCTTACTGTTGTAACACATCTGTTCCTTTATCTGTACGTTTTGAGTCTAGCTTAGTGTGACCTGCATTCCTCTGCCACACTTTGCAGGCTTGTGTCTTCTCCCGTTCAGGTCTGCCCCCGGCATGAGGCAATGTATTCCTTAGACTGAGCCTGCACAGCCTTTACGCGATGCTTCATCTAAAGCCTTCGACTAGGAGTGATTCATTTGAGCCAAATCTTTATGTTTGTGTGTGTGTATTTGTATTCTTCTTGACAGGACTGGAATATTCTGTCTGACTTGTAACCAAACTGTTGAGGAATCTCTGTACAGGTTATGTGACGGCTTCAGTATGTGAAAAAGAAAATGTGGATCTAACCTATTGCCTGTGTTTGATGGAGATACTCTTACAGTCCCTTCTATCATTCTCCCTTTGCTAGGAAATCCCAAGTATATCATTTATTGGAGATGTGTGAGAATATAAAAACATATTTCCAGCCCACTTTCCCCCAAATGCTGAATTGTATCAAACCCAGCAATCTTTTTCTCCTAATTAAAACACATCAGCATCCTCCTTTACCGCTTCTTCATCTTTTGCTTCATCACGTTTTGCTTACCAGCAATAACCTTTAGTTTCTGCATCTTACGGCTTGTCTGAAATAGAGATTCATGGGGAGTGATTTGGGGATGAGTTAAAGGAAATGTCTTGTGTCCCTGTGCTTGACTTCACTAGGCTGTGAAGAGATTTGGGGGTACAATAAATATTGTTCCTGCCTAAGCTGTGAAAGTCCTCATCCCTCCAAAATGATGGAAGTAAATTTTTTTTTTTTTTACACTTTTTATCAGAGGTTTTGACAAGAGACCTGACACCAATGATTTCTCAACAGCCTGAGAAATGTCTTTAGACCTCCTCTTACAAGGTGAAGTCTCTGTTCCTTTTGTAAATTTACGTGGTTTTTGAGTTTCCTGGGGAAAAGAGATTGGATTCACAGGCTGCTCTATGCACCCTTTGTGTTTTACATCTTGGGTTTTCTCACAGAACTGAGAGAGCACAAGTGCTGAGTGGAGCAGGGTGTGTATCCAAGTTAGAAATGAGCGTTTTAATTTATTGTTGGGGAACAGAGTGCTCGTATCTTAATCTTTTCGGTTTGAGGGACCCCCTGTGCCTTTACGGAGTTCTCTCTGCTGCCTCTTGGGGCTTTTACCGTTGCTCAGTACATTGGGCCAGAGAACTCAGACATGGTCTTTCAGAGCCTTCACTGTCACTGTGATGTGAGAAATGTAAATTTCAAACTGAAAAAGCCAGTTCAGTAATTCACTCTTGTGTTGTGCAAAGCTGATGCTAAGCATGACAAAAAGCATGTATCTTAGTATGTTGGAAAAGCCTTTAAACACTTGCAAAAGTTAAAAGGAAGGGAAGTGGAAGCCCTAAGTTTGCTTTGAGTATGTCATTTTGAGGGAAGGTTGGTGGTAGGGGGGAAGAAATCATGTTTGTTAATTGTAGGATTAATTTAAGGCTGTGGGGGACTCTTATTTACATTATAATGCTACAGAGGAAGTGCTTATTAAAATTAATAAAATTATGTCAATTTTTTTGGAAGAGATCTATTTAAAATTTGGTGTAATCAACAACTTTGTAAAGTCTCTGAAATATCAAATAAGATGGAAAGGCCTTTTGGAGGAACTCTTTGCACTGAGAGCACCACAGTCACCCAGTTGCTTCTGGGTTCATGAGAAAGCCGTCCGCGCGTCGTCGTAACTGGGGACAAAGAGCTGAAGGATTTTGTGTAAGATGGAGCCAGTTTCTCGGGGATCGGATGGAAATCATCCAGCAAGTACGGCTGGGCAGTGCCTTGCAGAAATGTCCACGAGCCCCCGGCAGTCCTGGAACAAAAGGTGTTGGGAACCTTGCAGCCCAGGCGAGGTTTTCATGCTGAATCCATTTATTTATTTAAGCTCGATTGCGGTGCACGGAAAGGAGGGACCCGAGCAGGGGTGGCAAAAGAGCTGGAAACAGCACGGCCACGCTGGTTGCTGCCTCCGGCATCAGCAGTAGCTTCTCCTGCAGGTTGGACTCAAGGATCTTAATGGTCTTTCCCAGCCTAAACGATGGTGTGATGAGAGCTGCTGCCAGCCCTGCACCAAAGCTGCCGGGGGGCCAACGGGTGGAGGGGAGAGATCCAGGCCCTGAGCAGGCTGACCCTGCGCACCTCCCGTGCTTCAGTTCACTCCCCTACACAGTGCATCCAGTATTTGTTAGCGAGGGGTTATGGCATTTCGTTTGTGTTAAAGGATTTTAAAATTCCTAGACGAAAAAAAAGCTATTCACAGGTAGACTTCTTTTGTCATCTGTAAAATGTCTGGTCGTTGGCTTTTTCCATTTTTCCATATCTGCTCATTTTGGAAAACGCCAGGGCTCACTTCCAGTCTGTTTTAAACTCTCCTCACCGTTCTGACCTCTCCATGCCAGGACACCCCTCGGGCCCTGCTCGACGTGACCCTGATGATCAAGAAGCTCATTTTGGGGAGTCCCACTCGTGCTGCTTTGGGTGCAGCCCATCTCGTGCGTGCTGAGTTGAGGCGTCCTCCAGACCGGGTGCAGGGCAGGCGAAGGGGTGTTGGAGCGATTTGGGGAAAACAGCGTGGCTGACTCCTTTTAGAGTAGCTCTGGGGGGTTGTGCTGCAGCCCGTCGTTGGCAGTTCCTCTAGGAAAGGGCCCTTCGTGGCTGGACCTGTTGGCAGCTCTCTGGCTGCTCTCGCCTCTGAATCCAGAGAAGATCTGGCTGTCCCCAGCCTTCCAAAGCTGCTCTGTGCTCTCAGGGCTGGCAGCAAGGGGAGGGGGAAGGTTGCATACTCATATTTCTGTTTTTTAAAAGAAAAAAAAAACAAACCTGCTCCTGCTTCAGGGGAGGCAAAGAGGTTTTCTGGTTGTGCTTGTAACGGCTCTTTCTCTTCCTGCCGTAGCTGCCAACCTAAATTGCCCCACAGGTCTTGTCCACCCAGGCTCCATCGCACGGAGCCGGGCAGGGGGGTGGCTGGGGGCTGGCACAGCGTTTGCTCTCGGAGCAAGATCCCTTCACATGCTCACGTTTCTCTTCCTGCGCTTCCACGAAGCCTGATTTTACACCTGGGACTTCAGTGCATTTTAGAGGAGCCGTGCTGGGAAGTGGTGTCGGGTCCCGGTGCTGCCAGGAGCTGCGTGTTTCCTTCTGATGCCTGTAGTCCTAGATAGGAAATCGGTGTGCCCAGAGTAAAACCTGCAGTACTGGTAGCGAAAGGAGATCGGTACTGTGTGAAATGCAAGTGGAAAGTTGTGCTTGGGGGTTTGCAACGTGCGGGGTCATAGAATCACAGGAGGGTTTGGGTGGGAAGGGACCTTTCAAGGTCATCTAGTCCAACCCCCTGCCACGGGCAGGGACATCAACTCGACCAGGTTGCTCAAAGCCCCGTCCAACCTGGACTTGAAATGTGCCCAGGGATGGGGCATCAACCACCTCGCTCAGCAACCTGTGCCACTGTCTCACTACCCTCATAAAAAATTTCTTCCTTCTCTGTAGTCGAAATCCATCTTCTTTTAATTGAAAACCAGTAGATGCCCAATGTTTAGTAGCAGCTGGCTTGACTAATTGGCTCTTTCATATTTCTGGTTTTCTCAGTACATACTTGTTGGAGGTTTTGCTAAATAGTAAACAGTAAAAAACCCTGCCTGACACATTTTTGATTTTTGTTTAGCACTTAAAACCCCCACTTATTTACTTTCGTTCTCTCACGTTCACCCCTGCCTTTTTTTAAGTAACTGTGAAACTGTGACTGTTGAAAAAGGGGGTTTCCACATTGAGTTGTAATTCTGATGAAAGTTTTGCAACTTGGCAGTTTGATACTCGATCTGCCCCACATCTGTGATCACAGTCATATTTTTTTCAACAGTTATTTTCTTCTTTGCTTTTGCATCTTCATACTCAGTGGTATCGATATTGTCCTAAAAGAGCACGGTTGTTCTGGGGGTTCCTGTGTGAAGGCTCTCCTGTATCATGTGTTGCTAGGCAAATTATATGTATAAGATTTCGAATTTCATCTTCTTTTTTTTTTTTTTCTTCCCCCTTCCCCATTCAAATTGAATAAATGTTGTCAAACTTCTTCTTTTCCCCTTAAAAAACAACGTAGCTCATCTTTTCCCTGTGTGAATCCTGGGTCACAATTCTTCTAACACTGTCTTAAGTTCTTGTGGCCAGCTCTGGTGTGGGTGAAGCATTGTGAAGTTAATCGCCATGTTCTTTTGAGTTCAGTGGTATCTCTGGTCTCTTCCAGTAACTCGTCACAACCACCTGAAGGACTTCATGCTGGTGGTGTCCATCGTCATCGGAGTGGGCGGCTGCTGGTTTGCCTACATCCAGAATCGCTATTCAAAGGAGCACATGAAGAAGATGATGAAAGACCTCGAGGGACTTCACAGAGCTGAACAGTCTCTCCATGACCTTCAAGAAAGGTAGGTGTGACGCGTCCACCCAGTTGGAGCGATCAACTTGGCAGTCTTTCCTGCAAGGTTGTTACTCGTTTAAATTTCAGGAGAGATTTTCTTTTTAGCTGTCGTGCTGCTCTGTACCAGTCAGCACCTTCCTGAGCGACCGTAGCAAACCTGCCAGCCCATCTTAACAGCTCGGGCGGTGCCTGGCTCGTGCGTGGATTCCGTTACCAGGCTACACGTCAAGATGTGTGCGTGCTCACTCGACCTGCTCTTTGGTGGTGACGTCCTAGTTATCTGTACTTGCAGTGTGCCACGTGAAGGCCTGGGTGGTAAAAACTCCCTTGCGTTACTACAATCCTGAGATGTGGCAGTGAAGTCACTTGAGCAAAGTGACGGCGCCCGGTGCCAGCCTCTCCTGGTCCGAGGTGGGCTCCGGTGCACGCTGACACGTAGCCCAACACAGCTGCACATGCTCCCACACATTTTTGTTTCCTTTCCACATTGCTTTTATGCTGTTTTGTCCATCTGTTTAGTTCCCGTTCTGCTCTAATGGTCATTCCTACCTCAAAAAAGTACTTTCCGAATTTTGGGGAAGACTTGACTCTGCTTAGTTTTGCTGCTGTTAGCGTGGGAGCCATCTCCTCTCTGCACTCAGAACTTTGCTGCTCTAAGGAGCAAAATATCCAGCTGAGCACAGCGGATGTGAGTGCTCCTTCTGCACTCGACAGCGGTCACTCTTCATTTTGAGTGCGTTGTCTTATTTCAGATAGGTGCTTCCTATTCATTTGCCACATTTAATTATGGAGGAGCAGTGAAACGTACAGTGGTTTCTACTCCCAGTCTGACTCATACTGAAAGTATATCAGGATCCCCACCACCTAAAATGACGGTGTAAATCTGTACCTGGAGGGGAAGAAGAGCCTCTTAAAGGAGTGTAAGGTAATCCAGCTCACTTTGAATTCATCATCCAGGCTGATCGGGTTGTTTCCCCCTGCCTTTTGGTGGGGAAAAAACATGCTGAAACAGTGGAAGCAGAGGAATGACACACCCCCACTTGAATTCTTTGAGCTATATGTAAAAGTCTGTGCTTCCCTGCCTGCACAGTGATAGCTAAATCCAGGAGTGTTGACTGGAAAGAATGAAAAAAAAAAAAAAAATTTTAGAGTATTAAATATCAATACCTGAACTCTAGACTCTTGAACAAAATACTCTAGCCTCAGGAATGTGACCTCTACTCACAGAAAAGATTCTGATGGTTCCAGCAAAACGACTCGCCAGAGAACGGGCTGCACAAGAGGCTAACTGTGGACACAAGAGTCTTTTGGGAAAGGAAAGAGCATTCAAGGCAGTTGATGACAAACGAGTGGGGGTTTTTGGCAATAAGACTTTTTTAACGGCAGATTTAGCAAATAGCAGAGCGTGATAGTCTTGGGCTGCAGCTATTTTTCATTAGTTTTAAGTGTCATTTTGGAAGATAAACCTTAATTTGGCCACTGTGTGAGCTGACGGCTGCGTTCCCGGTGGCTTCTCTGGGAGCGGAGCTGGCTGCTACCTGGGCAAACACCGGCATCCCCAGGACGTCCGTCTGCCGTGGAGACTTCTGCAAACAGCCGAGTCTTTGGAAACCGTGACGACAAACCCACCAGACTGCAGCCTGATTTCTTGCCTCCGTGCTCATGACAGCCTTCGGGGAATTGTCCTGCATGTGGGTGTTACTCGAAGGCTTTCTTCTTCGAGTGTGATCGCATCAGTTGGCGTCTGTGGAGAGAGCAAACACTTGAGGAAGTACCAAGCCGATGGTGCCAAACCGGGCACATTCCCCTGGCAGTGGTGTGGATATCTGACCTGCTTTCCTTCTGGCGTAGAGGTAGAATAAAGTGCATTTCCCCCCTGCCTACCGTGGGGCCGGCTCCAACGCACAGCTGGTTTCACAGAGCTTTGTGTAATTTTACATTGCAGGTTGGAAATACCCCAAAGAAAAAGATGATTTTTATTTCTGCAGCCAAAGGACACAGACGTTCCTTCTCAATGTCCGTCTCCTGGAGCAGCAGAGCCGCGTCCAGGCCAGGAGGTCTCTGCTGGGTGTCACTGAAGAGCAGGTCACACCAGAGGTCTGAACGCCGGCTGCTGTGAACGTGCCCTGTGGGGAACGACCTTGGGATCTGCTGCCGAGGGCAGAGCCACGTAAACAAGTCGGTGTGCCTGGGAAGTTCAGCTAATGCTCTAAAGCCAGATAGGAAGAAACACAAAACCACCCATGCTGAGCATAGCTCGGGTCTTAAGCCAGAGCAGCTTGTGATGTTTCTGCTGAGTTTGCAGCTGAGAGGGCTTGTGTTCTGCAGAGGGCACTGAGCTGGAGTTCAGGAAGTGGGAGGTGGATTCCTGGACCTTGTGGGGCCTTTTGGCAGAGGCTTGGTCTAATTCTCCTCTGGAGTAGGGAATACACCTTCACTTCTTCATCTTGCACCCCAGCGAGGTTCAGCTGTGGTCCTCAGCCACTGTAGAAACTGCAAAAACTACCAATAGCACCAGTTCCCACGGGCTTGTGTAGAAGTTGTTCTGGAGTTCTGCTGAGAAACTTCTTTTCTAGAGCTTGAAGTAATCTCCTTTCCTGGCTCATTGCAACTTGGTGCTGAACAGCCCTCCGGAAGGGAAGCGGTGCCTTTCCAGTTGCCTGTCAGCTGCTGACGCTGTGATTTGATGAACAACTCGGATACGTTCCTGGAGAGTTGAGAAGGGAGTGTTGATACAAAAAGCCATTTTTTTTGTTCATCTTCAAAATGCCTTTTGAGAACATCCTTCAACAGTGACACTTTCCAGTCAATTAAATGACCCATCAAGATAAAAACGTTCATGTCTTAGCACATCCTATTGATGATTGAAGGTTGTTTGAAGATCTGTATTGAAGATCTTCTGATTGTATTGAAGATCTGCTCCTGAATTGTGAAGCCCCTGGATGGACCTTGATTTCTTGCCCTCATTACAAATGTAGCTCTGAAGGCACTTTGCCATCTCGCAGAGCTCAGTGCACATGAAACCGGTGTTGTGGAACCAGCTGGGTTTGAACAGGAATGCACAGGCAAAACGTGGTTTTGTCCATAACCAACATAAAAAAATATGGGCTCTGCTCTCAGGAAAAAAAAGGGTAGTAAGGGAAAATACAATGTTAGAGTGCCTTTGAGAATTATCTTAAAGATCAAATTCCTTCCCTCTTAGGCATCATAATATGGGGAAATTTCTCCTTTAAACAGAGATATTTTGGTAGTTTGGGATTCTTACAGCCCTAGTATGGAAGAGCTTTAGCGCTGATGCGCAGGGCAGAGAGCGTGGGTTTATCTAAAAACTTGGAATGTCTTGGCAAGAGTCTCTTTAAATTAGGAAAAAAACCACTTGAGTTTCTCAGCAGAGCTGTAAATTGAAAATGCTCCTTTTCCAAGAAGAGAGCCAACATCATGGCCGATGAGAGTCCAGCCCATCCAGTCTGTTTCCCGTTGCCATCTGCCCGGGATAAGCCCGAGGAAGAGGAGTCCTTATTTATCTTTTGCAGCCCGGGTATGGCACAACCTGAGCCAGACCCCGCCGTCCCCTCACCTCTGTCTCTCCCACGCATCGCTCTGTGGGTTTGCTCTCCAGTTTGGATGTTGAATGGGAGAAATATTTTATTGACCTTGAAATACCTATTTCTGGCTAAGATGGTTCTATTCAGGGGTTTAGGGTGTTTTTTTTCTTTTAGGATCCCACCGACCCATGGAGAAGCTGCCTGGGCAGGGCAGGAGGTGCATGCAGGGAGAAGGGGCCGCTTCGGGTGGGAGTAGAGCTCTGCTTCTCATGGCACAAAACAGGAGTTTCCTTAGTTTGGTCTGGGTTAAAAACAGCGTTGCCTCTGCTGCTCCTACAGTCTGGTTTTGTCCAACCTTTATTGATTTATCTCAAACTGTGGTAACTGAAACTTTTGAAAGAAAAGTTCCTGTTTAAAAGGTGAGACTGTTAGACTGATGCACCTGGTTTCTGACAGTGTAAGCCACAACACTTCATTGTGTTCTGGGAACTCATCACCTCATGATTTGAAGTTATCCAGAGATAACTTCATTCCTCAGAAATTTGATCCAGGGTTTAATTGTTGCCACCGTTTCAAACAAACAAACAAACACAAAGGTATTTTTCATTTGAATAATTTGTACTTGTTCAACACAATTTTTCAGAACCTTCGTTATGAAGTGAACCTCTTCATTTCAATCGAATATTTGCCAAATCTTTTTCCCCTTTTATTTGGCAGTCGCTGTGCCTCTAGAAGCACATGGGTTTGGGACTGTATTTAAAAAGAGGCTCTGCTGGCATTAGAGGTTGTTTGGGTGGCAACAACCAGAGACTTTACCACCCCTTTTGAGGACAGCTCAGTCCCATGTGGGTCAGGTTCATTCTTGGTGCTAATTTGGTTTCACTGAACCTGTGTGAGGTTTGTGTTTACACTAGTGCAACTCCCCTGAAATGCAAACGTTGTAGAAACGCTGGAACATCCCGCTGTGGCTGCGGTGGTGTCTCCTTCAGAGGGCTGTGGCTTTCCAGGCTGAATGGTTGAACCTTCCTGAATGGGTAGAAGTAATCTGTTACTACTTTTTGTTGTCATACATAATTCCTACTGATGTAATTCTGTCATGAGGAAAAATAATAACTTCCAGGCAAGATCAAGACATGTCTAAATTTGGAGGCTTTTGCAAGGGGAATGCAGAGGCATCCCATCTGGGTGGTCATACCTGTTGCTCAGTCAGATCTTCTCCTCCCTTTTCTTTTATGAAAGGCAAAGGTCTTCAGTTTCCTAAATATAATGAAAATTCAAATTAATTTGATGGTTACTGAGAGAAATCTTGATGTGCTTTGGAAAATTAAGAAAGTGCATACTGTGTATTTGATAAACGAAATAGTTGAGACTGCAGAGTTGACAATTTGATTTCTTCTCGGGCACGGTGAACTTTCTCTTTGACTTTCCAAATACAGATCTCCGATGTTGACATCAACACGGAGAAACCAGGGGCGCAGGGCTGGTCTGGGTTGTGGCTGGCCAGCCCTTGCGCTGTGGGCTCCCGCGGCGGTGTGCGGCTAGCCCGGCACGCACAGCATTGGGCGCTCGGTCTCTCGTGTGTTGCAGACTGCAGAAGGCTCAGGAGGAGCATCGCTCCGTGGAGGTGGAAAAGGTGCACCTGGAGAAGAAGCTGCAGGACGAGATCAGCATTGCCAAGCAGGAGGCACACCGGCTGCGAGAGCTGCGGGAGGGCACGGAGAATGAACTGAGCCGGCAGAAATACGCTGAGCAAGAGCTGGAGCAGGTGAGGGTTCAGCCAGGTGTGTGCACTCACATACGGGACGTGCCAGCGGGAGCAGCAGGCAGCTCCTCACTCTGCTTCATCCTTCTGAGAAAGCCAGTGGTGTTCTGCTTGTAACGCTCTTCCGCTCCCCTTCGTGGCAGAAAAGATCCAATTATTTCTCCCACGTTGCACGTCCCCTGAGCTGCATGACAGTGCTGCTTGTGTGTTGGGTAGCCGGGACTGTGCAGGTCCTGTCTCAAGAGCAATGTGCTGCTGTCACACAGTGTCCCAGCTTGCCATTCAGGAGAGGGGTTGAACTTGGCCTATAGCTGCACCCCTCCGATGACTTCTAATTCCCACTCCAAACCATAAACTCTTTCTTTTTCTTCTTTTCTATTCATGGTTTTGGGAGAGGTTTGCAATGAGTTTAGTTGTGCTTGCCGTGTTTGCTTGTGAATCGGAGAGGTGTACAAAGGAAACTTCCTTCCAAGGAGATTTAACACTAGATTAAAATCTTGTACAGCAAGGTTAGAGTTCGTACTCAATTCTCCAAATCATTACTTTAAAGTTTAGACTAGCAGGAAAATAAGTCCCCAAGTTACATATCGTAACGTAGGCAGAATATTGTGTATAATGCTGCTGCTGGCAAAAATAAAATGTGTTTTGTCCAGAAGGATACATGGAGCATTTGTAAAATAATTTGCTGTAGCTCGGAAGGAGCACTCTCAATCCTACATCTAAAAACCCTGAGACCTATAACAGAAGCTATAGGAAAATAATGGAAATCAGGGACATTGCTCATGGCAGCTGCCTGCAGTAGCAGAGAGCAAAGAGTGAGCATCTGGGAATTTTACCTCAAAACTGCCCTTTGCCCAAACTTACAAGAGAGGTCCAAAACCACAGTTCCAGTGGTTCCTGTTTCATCTGAGGGACAGTTCTTATCTGACCTTAATTTATAGATCAGTTTAAAGTGAAATTGTGTGAGCCAGAATTGCATCAGCCAAGCGAGTACCGTGGATATTCTGAGGCCGTCAGCATATCCCCCCAACCTGAATGTGTCCAATCTTTTACGTCACCATGGAGGATGGGGAAGAAAATGAGACAAGAATTTAGGGTTTTCATTGACAAGGGAGAAGAAACAAGTGTCCTGGGCCATCGGGTAACTGGGGAGCCACAGGGCAGTGCAGCCTGGGTATGCAAATAGTCAGCAAACAGTAAATTTCCTTCCTGCTTAGAATACCAACAGCCCAGGCACCCGCAGGCGCCTGTCACCACCTTTTCTCTCGTGATCCAACATCGTTTCTCCTAACTGGTCACACAGCCTCTCCACAAAGTCACTGAGCTCCATTTCAGGACACGCACTGGGACGTCTGTACTCACACAGACAGAAATTTGGTCTCTTTGTATTGTGGGCCATGAAATAAGGATGTGTAGCCTTGCTCTTGTAGCCCTGAGCCCTTGTACCTGACCTGCCCCTTGCTTTTGGAGGAGGCAGGATCTCATCCATTCCACTTCCCCCTCCACTTTGCACTTGTTAAGAAGCCTGGAAAGCCAGAGGTGACTTAACTGCTCTGTTGTTTCTTAGAGGCCTTCAGGAGGGATGCACTGGCAGGGTGAGTATTGGTTTTACCCACCTGACCCACACTGTGTGATTATAACACGATCACTGTCCCAGCGAGCTGTAGACCACAGATAACATTAACCAGTCACTCCCACTGACCATAAAACTCATCCGATTTCAAGATATTCTTGGGTCCCAGGGAATATTAGAACAAGACATTCTTTTGCACCAGGCGATTCTTACCACTAAGATGATACTGGAGGGTTTGGAAGCTCCTACTGGATTTGGGCGTATGAGATGGGGACACACTGTGTTTCTGGGATGGGACTCTCCTGTACTGGGTTGTTCATACCGATCCTCTCTCCTCTCCAGGTCATCCTCCCCCAGACCATGGACCCAGCCAGGGCCACAGACCCAGAGGGCATTCCTCCCTTTATGAGTTGTTGCTCTTAGTGATCAAAATGAGGTCTTAGGAATCTTCCCAGGAGAATGTAGGCACACAAAGTAACTCCTATTTGTATTAATTGCCCTGCAGAACTGAGAGGGCTTGTGTTTTGGACACTGCTGTGTAACAGCTCATCCCAACCACTGTTGTTCTGCGCTGCTTCCCTTTTCCACCATTCCATAAAATGTTGTTCCTGCAAATGTTTTGAGCACTCCTCTGCCCCAAGTATCTAGTGTCAGATTTCCTGCTCAGTTATTCTCTGTATTTCTAAATCCCAGATGCTTGCAGATCGTGGTCAGAGTTCTGCCTGTAGTGGGCGTGGTGCCTGGTGGTGCTGGTGTCAGAGGGGAAAAAACAGACCTTCCTGGGGTCTGCGATTTCTGAATTTGTAACTTTTTGAATGATTTAGGCAGAGTTATGCTCAACAAGACTAAATCACACCTGTGTGATACAAGTAGCTGACCTCTTCTGTGCAGTGTCTCCTGGCTATTTCTACATGGATTGTTCAAATGTCCTCCAGGATAAAGTATGGGATTTCAAAGTATCTGCGTGTAACCTGGTGCTTTTGGCTCACTAGAAAACGCCTATGCCAGACTTGGTGAGACATGACTGAGTTAAATAACACATTAAGGGAAAAGATCCAAGTTGGAGCAATCTTTTTAAAAAAATGCTTATCTCCAGTCCGCTTGCGGCTGTGCTCTGTGGGAAATGAAGAGGCACCGGCACCAGGCAAGGGTGGGTGTAAACACGGCTGTGGGAAGCGAGCATTGGGCCGGGGAGGTCCCTGGACACGCTCCCACTGCCTCTGCGTTTCTTAGACCTGGGCCCTAAAGAACAGAAAGAGAAAATGGGACAGACATCGTCCAGGCATCAGCCCGGGGACACGCGTGCGGCCCTGGCTGCAAAGCTGGGCCTTTCCTCCCAGCTCCACCTCTGTCAGGAGAAGGTCTGCGTTGGTTTGCCGGGGCGGTGACAGCTCCTGAAGGTGCTTAGGGTTGGCTTTTATTTTACCAGCCAGGATGTCTGTTGTGCAGCTTATAACCACGTACACCCCTCCTGAGCTTCGAGGTGCTGTGGTTGAGGAGCAGTCCGGTCCACCGCCGCTGTGCTGTCCCTGGATTGCAGCAGCTCCGAGCTGCAGTCGCCATCCCTCGGGTTCTCCGGTGTGGGTCACGTTAACTTCTTGCAGGGCTTGTGTCAGGCTTCAGGTTTATTAAAGTCTCTGCACATCACGTGTAGTGGAAGGGAAGTGTTAATTCTTGATGGTCTCTAGCACCAAATGCTTTTACGTAAGGTTTTGGCATCTTCAACTTAAGCTTGTCACCCACTTCCTTCTAATTTTGTAATCGCTCCCTTCTCCAGCAAGATAAGTAAGTGTGTGGAGGAGACCAGACCGATGGTGTGTGGAGGAGACTGAGCTGGGATGGAAGGAGAGTCCCCCAGAAAGCTACAGAAACTGCTGATTCCAGACGTGTTATTTTTTTTCCTGACCAAGCAGCACATGTTTTGTGTCTAAATATTTTTATCATCTTGCTCCAGTGTGAAAGTTGTCTCTTGACAAGCTCCCTCTGTTTGGCTCAGGAGCTGCAGCGAGAAAAGGCGATTGCCTGCGGTGCTGTCAGCGATCCTGCCTCGGGAGGAGAATCTGTGGGCTTTGCAGACCTGCAGGCAGGCAGAAAAACTTTGCAGGGGTTTCTAGAGGCTACGACGGGCACCCTGAATATCCCTACCTAAAGTCGAATCCTCTTTTAACTAACGCGTGCATGGTGCTGTCAGCTCCGGAGGGTTTGCCTGCGGTTTACGCCGCTGTGAGGCAGAGGAGCGGACGCGAAGGGGTGGACCAGGTCAGCGACGAGCCCACGCTGCGCTGACCCTCCCTGGGAGCTGAGGTGCTGAGGCAGGACAGCACGGCGCTGGCGGGAGTGTTCTGAGGAGGGAGCTCGCCTTTGGGATGACGGGGAGGCACTGCGGGGTGTTCTGCTCACCCGAGCAGCAGCCCTGGCTGCCGGCTTCTGCTGCGCTCCTCTCGCTTGCCTGCAGCACCAGGCTGCCGCCTCCCCTCCTAATGACTTTGGCTTTTCTCACGAGTAAGATTAAGTTACGTGGAGTCTTTTGGGGGTTTGCTTTTCTTTTTTCCTTTTTTTCTGGTGCCTAAAAGCACCGGGTTGGCAGCCAGTGGTGGGGATGACCTGGCGGGAGGGCAGGTTGTCCCCGCCGCTGCTGCAACGCCGGCCGGTTCTCCCCAGGTCCGGATGGCACTCAAGAACGCCGAGAAAGAGCTGGAGTCCCACTGCAGCTGGGCTGCGCCCGAGGCCCTGCAGAAATGGCTCCAGCTGACGCACGAGGTGGAGGTCCAGTACTACAACATCAAGAAACAGAACGCGGAGAAGCAGCTGCTGGTGGCCAAGGAAGGGGTGAGAATTTCCAGCGTCTTCTCCCGGGTCTTCCCCTCACAGCCCCAGGAAAAGTTGTGGGGCGTGAAACCCGCAGAGTTGGTTTCTCTGCACCTTCTTTATTTCCCTTTTAATGCCTTAAATTTGCATTTTTTGAAAGTGCAGCACAAACCTTCGTAGAGGTTGAAGTAAAGGCTGGAAACGCTAATGAGCAGTCACCTCTCAGGGCACGGCAGGCCTGACCTGGGCATGCCCGTGGGCTGCGATGGCCTGTCCTCAGGGGGCTGGAGCCCTGGGGAAGGTGCAGAGTAGTCAGTGAGCAGAAGGGTTTGCACCTACTAAGCATAATCCCTGCTTTAGGTGATTTAACGTGCACGGGCAACGAAATTTCTAACGTGTGCATGCGATCTGCAGCAATGAATCATTTCTGTATTCCCAGTTGTTTCAAATTTTCTGTGCCAACCAAAAAGCTGCAGGGGAGCTGTTGTAACATGTATTTGTCTCTGTGGACATACACAGCAATCAGAGCGGCAGCATTGAAAAATTTGTCTGCCTTAATCAGTTTTCATTCTGAACATTTTAACATTTCAATGGTTTTCCTTTTGCTGTGTTAGTTCCCATGTCCACGTCCTTGGTTTGCCTTCTGTAAGTCTCGAGTTAATGCCACTGGATCTGTGAACCAAAGAGCCGTGTGTGGAGACTTTAATTTTGAATACATACTGTGTCACAGAGGAACCCCAAAACAAAAAACCTCCCCAAACCAGCAACCCTGGGGCGTTAACAGTGTTTCTCTGGTGGTTTACTCATGGGAAGGACAAAACAAGGCTTTATGAGAGCCATTCGCTGTGTGAAGTAGCTGGTTCAATTCCCTCTGACTCTTGGGAGATCAGGAGAAGGGCCAAGGAGGAGCATGAAACGCCCAACCTGCTTATCACTGCTGGCAAATTCCTCACCCGCTGCGTTAGGAAGAATAACATCCTTCAGTAAAAACCCGATTCACACTATTTACATGTGTGCAAACAGCTGCAGGGACTATTTCTGTCTCAGTCCATCCAGGATGTTCTTGTCCTGGAGGAAACATAAGGTCATCTTCTTCCTGTGACCTTTTTCTGTTGATGTTCCAGGCTGAAAAAATTAAAAAGAAGCGAAACACCCTGTTTGGAACATTTCATGTTGCTCACAGCTCATCTCTAGATGATGTTGATCATAAAATCTTAACTGCAAAGTGAGTATCTACTTAATACCTTCCCTTATTTCTGCCTGCCTCTTTCACCCCTCTCCTATTAGACACGAGCGTACTGGAGCCTGTGAAGGTGCTCTTGGTCTCATTTTGCTGAACTTTTGTTCTGCTGACTTTAGTTAGCTGGGATTGGACTTGCTCCTTTTCATCATTAAGTTTTTGATTTCATCTGTGTGAAACAAGAAAACGCAGTTAAGCAGAGCAATTGAAAGTCCTCTCAAAATGGGGATTTGGGAGGCTGCATATTCTTAAGTGATTATCCCTGGATATTTCAGTCGTCATTGATTTCTTTTGTTTTTTTTTTTACTTTTTTAAATTGTTATATTCCTGAAAACAGAATGACAGATGTCTCAAGCATTAGGTTACAAAGCTGAACCGTTAGACTCCCCGTCAGTTTAAATTTACCCAACCTGCGGTGTGTTTTTTCCTTCATTCCCTACGTTTTTCCCCTCGTCTGAACCTTGCTTCCAGGCAAGCGCTGAGCGAAGTGACGGCTGCGCTGCGGGAGCGCCTGCATCGCTGGCAGCAGATAGAACTGCTCTGCGGCTTCCAGATCGTCAACAACCCAGGCATCCACACCCTGGCCTCAGCCCTTAACATTGACCCCGGCTGGATGGGCACCCCGCGGCCCAACCCCTCGCACTTCATCATGACCGATGACGTGGACGATCTGGACGAAGAGATCGTGTCTCCCATGTCCATACAATGTACGTAGCCCACGTTAGCTGTGCCTGGGGAGCCTGCGTCTGCCGGGTGCCGCAACGTGGGGCGGACCCGGGATCCTAGTTCGAATGGGTCGGGAGGAATTCAGGTGTCCAGGTTGGTTTTTCAATGACCAAAGGCAAACTGTTAGTCGTTAAGAGTGGGGAATGGCCCTAAGTGCCAGACCACTGCTGGGGTTGCTCGGAGCCTGTTAATTCCAGCAGAACTAGTAATTCGCAGATGTTATTAGTCATCAGTTAATCGTATGTATGCTATTCTGTTTGACTCACTGAATTTCAGCTTTTACAAAAAAAAAAAAACCAAAAAAAAAACAAAGGCATGGGGCTAGACTCACAAAAGCGAGAAAGGGAAACGGAGCGCATTGTCCCGACCTCCCCTTGGCTTGAGCACTCGTTTGGGCTGTGAAAGGACACGCTCTCCTCACGCACAGCTTTGGATTTGCACCTCTCCCCATCGCGTACGGGGAGGAGCAGCCTGCTGTGGTGATGCTGCCTGCCTGTAACAACCCGTTCCAACGTTGCCCGGAGCAAAGACTGAAGGCCCAGTGCCCCATCTCCTGCGCACGTGTTGCAGTCCCCGGGGCGGGCGTTCTCGCCCGCTTTGTCGGTGACTCTTCGTATACAAAGTGCATCAACTCCTGTAGGGAGGAGCGGGGCTGCTGCAGGGGGAGGGTGGGTGATCCCGCTCTCGCGAGCCCGGATCTCACGGCAGAAGGGGCTGAACTTGGGTCACCTCGTGCCTGTTACTCTCTCAGTTGCTGAGCTCTCGGGTTAAGTGAAGGCTGTCTCCTTCTCCGCAAAAGGTTTGTGAATCAGTCCTGACTACTGTTCGCGTGTTAAACTGACCCAGATTCAGCCTGGCTTCTCTCAGAACCACATTTTCCAAATACAGTTTCCTATCTCTAGCTACTGCGCAAGAGAATGGGAGAACTGAGGAGCTGTTCCAGCCGCTCTGTGACAGCTCTCTGAGCTCCAGCTGGCAGAGGGAGCCCGTGCTGACAGTGGTAGCTGCAGCAGCCTTCAGTTATGTCTGATTCAGGTCACCTTTGAGCGAGGACTTCAGGAAAAGTCTGTTAATTGGGTAGAAGGTGGGGGAGGAACAGCAGAGTCTCAGCGTTTGCAGCGTGTGCTGCAGGAGATGCCCGTACGTGCCATCACCATCCTCCCTCCTGGCTTCGGGCTCTGGTCAGGTGCTGTGAGGGTCTGGAGCCAAGCGCTGAGGGCGAGGGGGGTGAAGGCAGAGCACCCAGGATTTGGGTAGCCTGCAGGATGTTAAGGCAGGAGGAACAGGGTTTCTGCGTGATTCCAGGGCTCAGCAAACGTGCAGGTTGGAGCTGGTGGTTTATGGGGTCGGGTGTGCTTAGGGAGAGTTTAAAGCCTCAGGCAGATAATGGTGTCCTACTAGTCTTTGTGATTACCAGTTACCATGAGAAACTGAGCTAGACAGCTCTAATAAATCACTTGCAAAGATGCCAGCTAGCTATTAATGCAAGGGATGTCTGAAGAAAAGTCCTAAGTAACACCTGAAGCACGCTCTCCAGTGGATGTGAGCTCTGAGCCATGAGCCTTCATCCAAGATTTTAAGCCTCAGCTTTCGTGCCTTGCTTGAGACAACCTCGAGGGAGACTTTTCTCCGGGAGCACCTGCAGTTCCCATCCCCTTACCGGCAGTGAGCCTGCGTGCTGCAGCATCCCTGTGGGTGCCGGAGCTGGACCGAGCGCTGGGCACCCACCTTCCCAAAGCAAGGCAGCGTTTGCCTTTCCCTAGAGGATTTTTCTTTCTTGGTGTGCAAAAACTGCTTCAGGAGAGAAGCGATGAGGTTTTTTTTCTCCCCAGATGCGCTGGGGCTGTTGCTGACTGCCCGTGATGATTCTCCCAGTAAATCACATTTTTCTCTCTCCCGTTCACACCCGGCTGGCCCATCCCAGACGCAGCCTGGCTTTTCGGGCGCAGGTTCAGTGACCGCTCGTCTCTGTCCTCGGAGGATCAGTCCCTCTGGAAATACCCTGGTTTGGTTCTCTTCAATTATATTTTAATTTTTTGTTCTACCCTCTGCCCTTTTTCTGGACTAAAATACATTCACAAATTTCCCAACTTTCTGGCACGGAAAACTAATGAATGTACATCTCTTCACTGAGTCATCAGCATCTTTACTAACCCCCGGGAAGAGTCTGGTGGGATGAAGAAGAATCACAGTTCGCTGTAGTTCTCACATGTTCTTTTTGAAAAAAATCCAGTTATGAAATCTGGAGGGTTGTTTTTACTTGTTGGGTTTGGTTTGGGGTTTTTTTGATTTTTTTTTTTTCTACCCCTGAGGTGGAAATTAAGGATTCAGGCTAGGCCAGGAGGAGGTGATAACGTTCCCTTTCGCATCCCACCTCCTCCTCCGCCCAGGCTGTGCTCGCAGCCGCTCCGCTGCCGGCTGCGGCTGACCCCGATCCCTCCCCGCGGGGGCTGCTGCCCGTTGCTGTGCCCTTCCTCCCCTCGGTGTCCTTAACTAACCCGGGCGATGCCACCTATTCACGCTAACGTGTCCCCCGGTGTCGGCACGCTCAGCCCCCACGACGCCGAGCCTCCTGGTTTCGGTTGGAAGCCTTCCCTTCGCGGAGCGCTGCCCAACGATGGGATGGAGGTTAGGGCTTGCGCGGTGGTGGTCTGCCTCAAGCTGATGAGCTGGTGATTTGGCCAGCGTCGGTGAAAGGTGGGCAGTGTCTTGGGGTGAGACGACGTTTGTGGGGGGAGCGCGGAGGGGCTGGGGGCTGCGCGAGGCGAGGCCGCAGCCTTCGCTGCTGTGCGTACGGCAGGGTAAATCGTGCAAAAGGAGAGCGCGAAGGCGAAAGGTGTCGAGCTGCTGAATGGGGGGCTGGAACACCGGGGGGGAAAAAAAATGCAACGAACCCCTTAGGGGGGAAAAAAGCGTGGCCCAACAGAAAGAGAAACCTGTAGCAGGAGCACATAATCGCCCAGTTGATTGCTCTGCAGAGCTTGGATTCCCCATTAGCCCTCCAAACCAAAACTGTGTCCCCGCCAGCAGCGGGCAGGAAGGGACCAGCCGTGCCGTTCCTGGCCGTGCTGCCCTGGTTCGCAGCGGCACCGCGGGAGAGCTGGGACAGCCTCTGGTTCTGCCCGTTAACGCTCTCCCCCTCACCTCCTCGGAGCAGTTCTTTTCAGTCACCACCGGAGCAAGGCATTTTGTTTCCACCTTGGCTCCATGTGACTTGATTTCACTTATTTTCAGCTCTTGGAGCTCTTAAGAGAAAAAAAAAAAAATCTGGAAATAGAAAGTGGATGGTATAAAGAGCTCCAGCGAAAGGTTCGTAGATGGGCAGTATAGTAAAGCAAGAAGTAAACCTGAGTGCTGGGACCCTGTGAGAGAAACTGTGGTTAACCTTGGGGATGTGGAAACAGCAAAGGTGCCGGAATTATTCTTGCTTGTTCATTCTTCCACTTGCGATATGTCCCAGCAGTGATCCTTCAGTACTTGAGGTGTTGCTGTCAGATGAGCTGCAGAAGTTGCGTGTTTCCTACCTGTGTGTTTTTATAGCAGTGATTTGCTGGTTCTTCGATTCCCAAAGGAGCTCTCTTTCTACTCCATTTCTTAGCTTTCCTGTCTGTTCACCTTTTTAACCCATTTTTACATTTATTTCTTACGCACATAAGAAATCCTGAACAATCCTGAACACCTTATCTCCTGCAAAAGAAGGGATATCTTGTATGGAAATTGCAGTTAGTGGACTAAGTACAACCAGTCTGGTTGTCTGCAGGCTGGCGGAGCAGCTCAGTGGAATCCTTAGTTTTCCACATGTAATGCCTGATCGAAACGAAGGTGCAGAAATTTCCATAGGCTTGGGCTCGGTGCGTAGCCTTGGTGCAGAGGGAACGGGCTGAGCTCTCTGGCCTCTGTTGCCTGCCAGGTAAGGCTGCGTGGCCAGAGAGATCACGGTGATCTTTAAAAGCTGTTAATTAACTGGTGACAGTGCACTGAAGGAGGCAGTCTAGTTTGTTTCTCTGAAACAAGATTAATTATAGGGATTGGATGAGGGGTGACAGTTTTAAACTGACCGAGGGCAGATTTAGATGAGACCTAAAGCAGAAATTCTTCCCTGTGCGGGGGGTGAGGCGCTGGCCCAGGGTGCCCAGAGCAGCTGTGGCTGCCCCCTCCCTGGAAGGGTTCAAGGGCAGGTTGGACGGGGCTGGGAGCCCCCTGGGCTGGGGGAAGGGGGCCCTGCCCGGGGCAGGGGGTGGCACTGGAGGGAATTTAAGGTCCCTTCCCACCCAAACCAGTCTGGGGTTCTGTGAGAGAGAAGAGAGAGTTTGCAATTACAGAAAATATTTTTCAAGCTAAGCATCTCTTTGATCAGTAAGCTAATTATCAAACAGCCTCGGGCCAGACGATACCACTTTCGGACCAGAGCTATCACTTCAGGCACGGACTGATGACAAAAGCCTGTGGCCGACTCAATTAATACCGTAGTTGCTGTACACCTGCCACGTGTCCCAGCCGTTCTGCCCGGCAGAGGGTAAAAGGCTGGAGGTTTCTGCATCTCCAGAGCAGCTTTCCTGCAGCTGCACTCCACTTTCGGCCCCGCGTTCCTGCGCCTTGCTCCGGGAGTTGCGTCAGCGCAGCGGTGCTGGAAGCGGGCGCAGAGCGGAGCTCCGGGAGCCGCGTGTGCCTCGCTGGCTCTGGGTGCCCACGTCTGCGCTGATCACCGGAGGCTCCTTTTTTAGGCTGTGTAGGGAAATAGTACTACCAAGGCACGAAGCATCTGAACGATTCGGATGTCTGCGTTAGGATGAAATGAATCATGCCTTGAAAGTACCGACTTCACGTCTGCTATAAAGGGAGCCTGGGTGGTAGCTCTGATGTAGACTTGGGTAGGATGAATCACGCAGCCAGTTTCTGCTTCAAGCAAGATGGTCAGATAAGGTGTTCAGAAAGCACCTATATCGGGAATGTCAGAGTTTGTCACGGGCTGGGCTTTAATCTAGCATGTTAAGCAGCGGCGCCCGCTTAATGCTTCTTCTGCGTTAAACCAGCATAACTCCTAGAACAAGGTGGGATGGCTGCAGGGGCCCGACAAGCAGCCCGGTGACAGAAGGCACGGTGCTGCCTCTCCTGGCAGCTTTCCCACCGTGCCTCCTCGCCGATGGGATGTGCTGCCTTCAGCCTTCTCCCCTTTCTCTCATTGCAGCTCCTGCCTTGCCCAGCACAGTTCGCCAGCGCCTGGTGGACCCACCGCACGCCCACGGATCTCAGAGGTTGGTAGAGAGTTATGTGCAAGGCCAGAATGAGTCGGGCCAACCTGCCCACTACCGGGCAGGCAGAGTCTCTCTCCGTCGAAAGCACAGCCTCTCCTCTGGACAGTCTTTCAGTTCCGACCTTCCCGGCACCAGCCCATCATCTGCTGCCTCCACCACCTCTTCCACCTCTTGCTCCTCATCCACCACCACTGCATCTGCTCCTGCTTGCCATGTCCACCCTATCTATTACCATCACACCACCTCCTCTTATTTCCTTCAGATGGACTCCATCCCTGATCTACCCCCTCCTGATGTCACCTCTGGAGTTCGCTGTCGCACTGAGAGCTTTGGGTATATTGCTGTTTCTTTCCTAGCTCCCCCTTGCCTGCTGTGCCTCAGAGCTGGTGCTTGCTTGGGTGCTCCTTCTCCTGGATTCCTTGTGCCCTTTCCTTGTAGGCCTTTATTTCGTGATTTATCCACACGTTTGTTTCTTCAACCACTCTCCCGTGCCGGTGGACCCTCTAAGGAGTGCTCCACAGTCCATTCCCATATCTGTAAACTCAGTGGGTGCATAAACCATGGAGGTGCTGCTGTTTAGCTGTAGCTAAGCAAATGAGAGTTCCTGGGCACTCGGTTATGGCTTCAGTAAGTCAGTCTTTCACTTGGGTAATGCACCTGTGAGAACAAAGGTAACGCAACTAATCAAACAAACACTGACCTTATTTGAAGCCTTGACTTACTTGGGGTCTTCCCAAGCGAATTGCAAAGGAAACACGATGGGATGGTAGGTGCTGTGAGATAGCAGTTGGTGCTGCCGGAGGGTTTGAGATTTGTGCTGTTTTTAAGAGGTGGCAAAAGGCATCACTCAGGATTTTTGTGTTTCAGACCGAGTCTTTACCTCTGTTTTGGTAGGGGATGAGGCACGCTTGTGTTTTGGCTAAGGAACAGCTGAATAATGAGGAGGGAGTTGGATCACTGGCTTTAACTTGGCCTCTCTCAGTAGTAACAGCCGGCGAGCGATGGCTCTTTGGAGATGTGTGTACGATAGGGACTGGTCATCATCCACAGCCCTAAATCCCCGACCTCTCCCGATTCACCACGCCAGCGTTAAGAGGCGAATGACTGGGTGGGCCGTAGATGCAGGAATCCTGTCTAGTCTAACTGGGGTGCTGCGAGGGGCCTCCGGCAGCCGTCCCGGGTGCAGAGATGGGCTGTACCCCAAGCAGAGGATCGCGTTCCGTGGGCGGCCCTGGGAGGATTTGTTCCGGACAAGATCCACGGGCGGCAGCCGTTGGAGGTCCCCGTCCCCCGTGGGTCGTGGATGCGCCCAGCTCTGGGGCGCTGCCTGAGCCCGTGTCCATCCAGGTGTTTCATTCTACACCCTCGGCCGAGGGGCGAGTGGGGCGTGGGGTTTGCGGGGACTCGAGCTCAGGGGCGTTGCAGGCGGACGGTGGAAGGGCAGGGATGGGCTCGGGGGGGGGGGGTTCCTGGCCTCCTGCCCTGCCAGGGAGCTGCTTGGGGCCACAGCCAAGTCCTCTCAGCTCTCTGTTCCGCGCTTTCTCCTCGGTAAAATTAAAAATAGTCCCTTTATCCCCAGAGTTAGGGAACAGACTTCTAGGAAAAGGCTGGAAGTCTCAGTGAGGAAGCCGGTGGGGGCAATGTCCTTCACGTTTATTTGCCCCGGCAGGAGAACATTCCGAGTCACCACATCTTCATTTGTCCCGGCACGCTGTACCATTATTCCTTTATCGGCAGGTACCTCGCCCCTCAGGCGTAGGTTCTCTCCTGACAGCATTTACACAGTTCTGTTTGGGATGTCTCACCCCCTCGCTAACTCGGGGGTCTCAAAGCCGGGCTTTGCTGGGCCAGAGCATCCCTGAGCCCGGGCTGCGAGAACCAGCCCAGGAAAAACCCCGAGCAGCCCCAGGCAAATCACAGATCCTGGAGGAGCAGCACAGGGGGAAATTACTGCACCTGCTCCACAATGGACAATTAAAGAGCAATGTCTTGGTTAATGTCGTAATGTTTGTTTTGGGATTATGAGAAGCAGCATAATTAAAATTTAGATTAATTACTGCCAATTGGAGTTCAGTTGCAGCTGCCCCAGTTTGAGTGGTAAAAGCTGGGAATGCTCCCTGTAACGTCGCACAGTCCCTGTTTATCGTCGACCTTCCTGTCTGCAGAAAGGAGGGCTTGTCCTGGGAGCTCGAAGGCTGATGTACTGTTTCAAAAATAGCTGTATAAACATGATTTTTCTTTTCAGCTGAGGCCTGTGATACACTTAATTGCTGACCAGGTTAAAGTCTCGATCCCACAGACTCCCCTGAGAGTGGCAGAGGGAAATGTGGTGTGACTCTGGGATCCCAATTAGAAAAGACAATGGTGCTGAGAGGTCATTAGGAGAGAATAACTGGGATCTTCTCCTTATTCCCCACGGGCAGTTAGTAGCTTGTCAGAACCTAATTGGTCACCCTTCCGTGGAAGGTAGGACTGTTTTCTCTCCATTTCCATAGCAAAAGCCACCTGCTCATGCAGGATAATTGATTTAGCAACAGAGTTTTGCAGAGTAAAAACTTTTCACCCAAGATTTGCTTCAGCTACACAATAGCAGATGACTCCAAAATCCATGCTCATCCATTCTCCGTTCATTTCAGAAAGCAGAAATGAAGGATTGGGTGCCCAAGTGTGTTCTTCTTTTGTTGCTTTTAATTTTTTGTCACACTGCATCATTAGCAGACCCTGCTTAGATGCGTGTCTAAAAGTACTGCCGTGAAGGCATGCCACAGCACAAGCCAATGTATTGCTCTTTCTCTTTTATATAACCAGTCTCGGAGGCCTTTGCATACATCCCTCGAGCTCCACAGCTTCCCAAAGAGGCAAGCAGAACAGATGGGGAAGCTGAGGCTGAGAAAGGCCTTCCAGGGAGTCATTGCCAAGGACGAAAACGGAACCCAAAAAATTCCTGGCTCCCTTGGTAGGAGGGGAGTGCTACCTTGAGTGCTTTGGGCTGCTGGATCGCTGTAGCCTCTCTCGTACCCAGCAGATGCCAATGTTGGCGAGACCTCACAAAAGAAATAGTCCCAAACAAGCCTTTCCCCCCTCCCCGAGAAGGGCTGGGGGGTCTCTCCCCTCTGCGAACTGCGTACGGTGCTCGAGCCGGCTGGGGGGGTAACCTGGTAGGGCCCTTCTCTCCAGGCAAGGCCCGCGCGTGGCCGGTGAATCGCTTTCCTGAGCTCCTCACTCTTTGCTTCTCTTTTGCAATTGGCTTCAGAGGATCCGGTGCAAATAAGGTCAGAGCTGTTCTGATTTTGAAGGCTGATGTGTGTGTTTTTGAATGTTGATGCAGCGGACTGGGTGTCCCTTTGGCGGGGGGGGAGGAGGGGTTGGAGGGTGCTGCGTGCACAGAGGTTTCTGCTGCCGGTGCCTGCTTCCAGTGGTACCCGTGGATAAAGCTGATGGAGATGGGAGCGTAGGACCAGACGCCCACCCTGGTGCCCCTTTTCCGATGGGGGAGGGGACGTGGCAGCCAAAGCAAAAACCGAGTGTCAGTAATCCAGTGGCAGACTAGTTTGCTGCTCTTACTGGAGGGGAAGAAATTACTGTTGGGTCTGCATCGCAGGGGCTGTTCCTGAGCCTCTGGCTGCGCCCCGCTGAGCACAGCAAAATAACTAACCCATGCAGCAAATTTGATTCTGCCTTAGGGGAAGCCTTTGCTGCCCTGGTGCCCGGTGCTAGCAAGCTATATAACGTACAGCCTTGCAGCTGTGGGTGCTCTTGGTAAAGGGCAGGGAGCGGTGGTGGCAGCAAGGTCTGTAGGAGGCTGGTGGACAGACCAAGCCCTGCGTTAGTGCCGGCTGCCCCCGCGCCACGCCAGAGCTTTCCTACGGCCGCGTCCTGGGCTGTGCAGGCAGCAGGAGCCCGCCCGGAGAAACCCTCCAGCGGGCTGCACAGCTGAGGGAAAACACACACTTCTTCTAGATCCTCCTCCTGCCCCCTCTCCCCTCTCTCCCCCACTACCCGTCTTTCTTTACTCCATGCTTTGCTCTCCGCTTCTTTTGTTTGCAAAGTCAGCCCGCCCCCATTTTCTCACCCTCTCTCGCTCACCGCGGTCGGTTGGGGTTCTTGGCGCGGCGGGAAGCCCAGGCGAAGGCAGGTAAAGCAGCAGCAAACGCCCGCGTGCCGCCTTCACGTCGGTGGGACGCCGTCGGCTTCGGTCTTCGCAGGCTGGAAGCGCCCAGCTACGTGGAAAAGAACGGCGAACGCCGCGGCGGTGCGGCCGGGGTGGAGCAGCTGTGCTGTCCGAAGGGAGGCTCCCAGGCGTTTCCACGTTCAGCTGGTGGCCTGAGGTTTTTCAGGAGGGGTGAGCTCCTGCCGCACCGCAGAAGCGCTTTTCTCTGGAGGCACCTTCCCGCAGCGCCGTGGAGGCTGGCTGTGCCTTGGGCCAGCGTTTCCTCTTGAAAACGGGCCGTACGCAGCATAAGCCTCACGAAAACCAGCAGGATAGAGGCCGGCCTGTTTAGGCTGAGCCTTGCCCGAGGTGACTGGCAGCAATCCTTTGGGATGTTCTTTCCTCCTCTCTTGTCCCGGCACTGGGCTCGGGGGCGTCCCCTCCTCCTCTCCGACAAAGCCAGCGTGCATCCCAGGGAGTCGTGTCCCCGTGGACACGCACCTCCCCTGTCCCGCGCTCACCCCCCGGGAACCGCCACGGAGGATCTTTTGGGGCTGCAGGAAGTCTCAGCGAAAGTTTCCACCTGCTGGTGTTCGGTTCTGAAAAGCAGCCCGTGCCCGTGGGTGGCACAGCGGGGCCCCTCTCGGCGTGTGCCTGAATGTCCCGCTCTGTCGGGGAGGGGGGGCAGTGGCCCAGCCACCCCCGTGGGCTGCTGCCCACCCCTGATGTGCCACGGGCATCCGCAGTCGCGGCGCCTCGCCTCTACCCTGTGGGAATATATTCCTGAGTCGCAGCTGGATGGATTATGAATAAAATGGGTGAGTTTAGCATCATCGGGGTGTTGGAAAAGCATCTGCTCATAGGCTGTTTCCCCCCCTTCAGTCCAGCTCTGGACGGCGAGCCCAGAAAGAAAAAATTATGGTCCAACGAGGTCCACGTCTCCCCGGGGTGCGGGACCAGCTGTCCGGGGATTGGGTTCCCAGCACCGCGGGGGAGCAGGATGCTCCCGGACCGGAGCGTGTTTCTCCATCTGCCATCATCGTTTTCTCCACACGCTGCCGTAGCCCCAGGTTTGCTTTTGTCTCTTCTGGATTGAAGAGCCGCGCAGGACGGAGCGGGGGAGGCTCGCGGGGCGGCCTCCGAGCTAGCGGCCGTTTGCAGATCTCAGCAGGGAGAGCGCTCGCCCTCTTCACAGATGAGGCATTTTTGAAGCCACCTCAGTTCAAAAAGAAATATATTTTTTTGCCGTATTTGCTACTCTCTTCCATATTATTTTTTTTTTTGGAAAGATTTTTTTTTATTGACCTCACCCACATACCTTTGTGACCGTGGCAGCCGGTGGAAGGCTTGGGCTGATTTTTACTGGAAACAAGAGCATTTCTCAGTGGCGTTACAACTCTGAATCTCAAGCGAGCGGGCGTTATAAACCTGCCTTCGCCGGCCATGGCGCGCCGCCTCCGCACGGTGCTCGGCCATGTCATCGGGCGAACGCCCCGGGGTCTTTCGGGAGGTGGTCCCCGGGGAACAGGTAGTGGGGTCACCGGAGCGGGGGCCGTGCCCCTGCCTGCCCCTCGTCCTGCCTCGGATCAGCTTCTGCCCAGGCTGAGGTTTTGCCACGCTGCCCGTGTGGTTCTGGCTGAGCGGAGAGCCTGGACGGAGCCTCGTCCCCTGAGCTCGACCCTGCAGCCCACGGGCGGCTCCGAAGATGCGGCTCCGGCAGCATCCTCGGTGCTGGGGGGGGGGGGACACGACACTCACCGGCCGCTGCCTTCCCCGGCATCGCTCGGTGGGGCCGGTGCTGAAGCACGTGGCCGAAGGCCGCTTGGTTTTCGCGGCAAAGGCGGCACTTCCCAGGTATTTGTGGAGGAGACAAACCTCTGAAAGCACGTGTGGGGCACCGGCTCGCCCTCGCGGCGTCTCTCCCGCCAGCAGCTCGCTCGGCACCTGCGTGCGATGGCTTCTGCCACCCCTTCTTGGGGGGGAGGTGACACAGCGAGCGGCCTGACGGAAATTCCCTGGCAGAAATTCCCCCTTTGCAGGTGTGCTGAGCACCGGCAGGGACAGGAAGCGTTCGGGAAGAGCGCGAAGCTCCTGACTTAAAGGAAAGCGGTCGAGTTGCGGTTGCAGTTAGGTCTTCCTTCTGCGTTTACTAGCAGCAGCCTGAGACCTCAAGCCCCCCGGGTCGCGCGAGTGCCGTCGGTGTCCACCTCTCGGAAGATGGCTCTGAAATACTCCCACGTTCAGCCCCGTGGAGTTTTCCCGAGGCTGCCGTTCCCGAGGCTGCCCGGCGCCCAGCCCCGGTTACCCCAGTGAGAGCTCCGGGCCACGAGCTGGCAGCGACCGTCTGCGGAGCCGCCGGTATCTGCTGGTGGCGTTGGGGAGCTCCCGGGGCTCCGTACGGTGTGTTGGGTGGCAGTTGTCTCCCTTGGACGGCCTCCAAGACGCTCACTCAGAATAGCTGGGGGCTTCACACCATCCAAATTGTTCGGTTCCTGTTCTCCCCGGCCTGCTGCTAACCTTGAGGACGCGGCTCTCCGTCGCTCGGGTGTCAGATGGGCTCAGGTGTGCATCTGGGAAAGGCAAGGACTATTCCAGCAATGCCTGCGGCTATTCTTGTTAAAATAAGAGATGAAACAAGTCTCCACAGCTGGGCTCTCACGGCAGCATCCTTACCATGCGCGAGGGATTTTAATACCCCTTTCCTCCATATATTCCCGTGGAGCTGTTAAACGAGGGCCCGAGTTTATTCAGTGGGCTTTGTTACAAAATACCCTCGTTGCCATCACGAAGGGCGGTGACGTGAGGAGGGACTTTCCTGCCTTTTCCAAACCCCTGGTGCTAGCACAGTCCTGGGTGACGTCGTGCTGCCGCAGCCGCTTTTCCTGAGCACCCACCCGGTACCGCCTGGCCCCCTCCTGCACCGGCTCCGCAGCGAGGGCATCTTCTCTCGGCTTGCTGGCTCCAAACTCTGGAGTTACTTGTGCTGTTAAAGGAGGGGCTGGGGGCTCCTCAGGGCGCAGTGACCCCCGTCCTGGGGGCCGAGCTGCGTGGGGAGGAAGCGGTGAGCACCTCCCGTCTCTTCTCACAGCCTTTCGCTTCTCCTCTTCGCCTTCCATCCGCCTTTTCCCATTCTGTCCTACCTGCCTCCGGCCGGTGGGGCAGGGCCCGCTCCCCCCCCCCCCCCCGTGTCCTGACGCCAGCGTTCGAGTAGGTGGCAGCGAGAGCAGCGCAGCGCCCAGGTTTCGGCGGGGACGTCCGGGGCCCGCAGCGTTGCACCCCTCGAGCTGCGACTTCCCCGTTTCTCCTTTCCTCCTACCTCCCACTCTCCGCTTCAAAAAGGATCCGGGAGCTCCTGGGGCTGGCGCGGCCACGCTCGGCGATCCCCAGGAGGCACCAGGCCGGGGGCACAAACCGCTGTGCAGCGGCGGGGCTGGGGCATGGCTTCGGGCAGGGAACCCCAACCTCCAATCCCTCCCTCGGGGCTTGGGGGTTCGCTCCGGCTGACCCAGGAGAAGGGGAGGGGTGTGGGGGGTGTGGAAACGGTCGATCTGACGGTTTCCATCCCGGGGCCAGGGTCTGGCTGGAGCGTCGCAGCTCGGAGCGGCCGTGCACACACGCAGATGTGAGCTGGGCCGAGCAGAGGAACCCCCCGATGAAGTTGTGTTGTCTCATCCCCCCAATCCCCGTCCTGCATCGGCTGGAAGGGCACCGGCTCCCCGGGGGCCAGGGCGAGCTGCGCGATGCTCTGAGCTCCCTGGCCCAGCTCCCGCTGGGATCCGTGGGAAAGAAGTGGGCTGGCGGGGTTGGTTTTGGTTTTTATTGTTTTTTAGGGAGCGGGAGGGAGCTGTGGCTCGGAGCAGAGCCCAGCAGCGTGCCGGGCCGAGGGTCCCCGGCAGCCACGAGCTCAGGGCTGAGCGCTTGCCGCTGCCTCGACCCCTCCGGTTCTGCCTCTGCGTACGGTGCTTCCTCGCAGCTCCCAGCCGCTCGTGCTGGGGGGGGGGGGGGATGTGGGGGGGGATGTGGGGGGGGGGGTGGGGGGTGGGGAGGGGACGAGCCCCCCTCACCCCATCCCCGGGGGTGCCCACCGCCGTCGTGCTGCTGGCACCCGTACGGAGGAGCAGAACCAGTGGGAGCGGGGTGGGCGCTGCACCCCGGGGGGCTCCCTGCGCAGTGCCGGGGGTTTTGGGGTGGGTGGGGAGGGGATGGGGGGGGGCTTCCCCGGCACTCCCCGTCCGCCGCATCCGTGGGCGCGCGTGGGCTGGGGCGTGGGGTGCTAACGGCCCTTCTCTTCCCCCCCCCCCCCCCCCCCCACCTCCTTCCCCACCCCAGAGACTTAACTCGCTGCGACTCCGACTCTTCCATCCCGCACCTGAGCGACCACCAGCGTATCCCCAGCTCTGCGCCCAAGCTGCTGGCCGCCCGGCCCAACCTGCTGACCCGCTCCATCGAGGAGGGTGCCCCCGGCCACCCCGCCGTCGGCGCGCCCACCCCCAACGGCGGCAGCCGGCCGGCGGAAGCCTCCGTCCCGGGGGCTTTGCCGGAGCGCCTGCCCGAGAGCCCCATGGTGATGAAGAAGATGATGATGGTGAACCACGGCATGGAGAAGTCCTCCAGCCTGGGGGAGATCAGCCACCCGACAGCCGGCAAGCACAGCCACTCGGATTCCTCCCGGTCCCACAGCCCCAGCTCCACCGACCCCGACACCCCGTCCCCCATCTCTGACTGCCGGCCCAGCAGCGCCAAGAGCACCCGCATCCCGCAGCTGGCTGCCAAGAAGAGCCCGGGGGACGAGGACAGCAGCTTGACAGGCGATGAGGTTGACCTCGGCCAGAGCAAGAAAAAGTTCCCCCTAAAGATCTTCAAGAAGCCCAAGAAGTAGAGAGAGGGGCGGGGGGGGAAGAGGAAACCCACCCAGGAGCGGGACCCACCGGGACCGGGGGGGCGGCCGTGCATCGGGAGTGCAGCGCACCCGCCGCCCCGCGCCCTCCCCGCCCGAGTCACCTCGCCCAACACCGGCAGCGGGAGGAGCTATTTAAACTTATTTATTTCCTGATCTCTGAGGAAAAAAAAAAAAAAAAAAAAAAAAAAAAAGAAGAAAAAAAAAAAAAAAAGGAAAAAAAAAAAAAAAAAAAAGACGATGACGACCACCGCTCCCCCCGAAGAGAACAGCCGCCCTTTCTCCCCTTCGACTGCTGCGGTCCCTGGCTTTGCTGCGCATGGCTTCCAGTTACTCCTGCCTCTGCTCAGCCACACGGCATTTGGGTTTGGTTTCAATGTGGTTTTATTTTTTTATTTTTTATTATTATTAATTTTTTTTTTGTTCGTTTATTTTGGTTTTTTGTGGGGTTTTTTGTTTGTTTTTTTTTTTTTTTGTCCCCGGTTCTTCTGCCTCTTCCGACTTTTGCACGGGCTGTAGGCGAAGGCGGAGCGGGGCCGGCTGCTCCCCGCTCGGCTCTCGGGGTGACTGGGGTGCGAGTGTTTGGGCCGGTTCTCCCCCCTATTCCCTTGATCCGCGTTTCCACACCCTGGCCCCCAGCACTGCGATGCCCGGGGGGGGGGAAGGGGGGGGGAGATCCCCTCCTTTGTGCGCTCTTGATAAGCAAGAGCCAGTAAAAGGCCCTGGTGAGGGAGGGCTCTCCCCTCCCCAGTACTCGTGCACCCCCGAGCTCTGCCCTCGACCCTCTTCCCACTCGTGCCGGAGGCGGCTGCGGCGTGGTGGGTTTCCGTGGTAGGGGGGGTTGGATGCCGGGGCGCAGGAGCCCACGGCTGCCCCTCCCCATCTTTACTTCCCCAGCCCTTGGACCTTCCCCAGGGTGGGGGGGGGGAGCAGGGCTGGAGGCAGCTCCTCCAGACCCAGATGTCCCCGGGGGGCAAGGAGCGGGGACGCTGGGGTGACAGGGGAGCACCGAGGGACGTGCTGGCCCCCACCGGTGTTGGTGCAGAGCTGGGTCTGGCCGCACATGGGGGGGGGGGGGGGGGGCCGTCCCCTCTCCCCGTGTCCCAGTTTCGCAGGGCGCAGCAGGACGGGGATGGGGATGGGGATGGGGACAGGGACGGCAAGCTGCGCGTGGGTGGCAGGAGCCTGGAAATGTCCTCTGGCTCCCCCCCCCCCCGAGGCAGGCGTGCCCTCAGGCTGGGCGCTGGGGCTCTGAGCCCCCCTCCCTGAGCACCGAGGGGATGCTGGCGGGGGGGGAGGCTCCCCCGGGCACCCGTGGCACCAGCCCCACCGGGCGCCGGCACAGCCTGCGGCGGGGCTCGGGCCATCCCGGGCCGCTGCCCGGCGGCTCCCCCGGCAGCCTGCGGGCCGCATCCTGCTGCTCAGAGCCCTCGTCTCGGCCACTGAGGGGGAGTCCCCGGTTCGGGGCAGGAACTGCGAGCCAAGCTCTGCCCCGTCCGCCGGCTGAGCCCATCCCAGGGCTGAGCCTGTCCTAGGGCTGAGCTTTGCTCCATCCTAGGGCTGAGCCTGCCCAGGTCTGAGCCTAACCCAGGACTGAGCTCTGCTCTGTTCCAGGACTGAGCCCATCTCAGGACTGAGCCCATCCCAGGGCTGAGCTTTGCTCCATCCCAGGGCTGAGCCCATCCCAGGGCTGAGCCCATCCCAGGGCTGAGCTTTGCTCCATCCTAGGGCTGAGCCCATCCCAGGGCTGAGCTTTGATCCATCCCAGGGCTGAGCTTTGCTCTGTTCCAGGACTGAGCCCATCTTAGGACTGAGTCCATCCCAGGCTGAGCTTTGCTCCATCCTAGGGCTGAGCCCATCCCAGGGCTGAGCTTTGCTCCATCCTAGGGCTGAACCCATCCCAGGGCTGAGCTTTGCTCCATCCCAGGGCTGAGCCCATCCCAGGGCTGAGCTTTGCTCCATCCCAGGACTGAGCCCGTCCCAGGGCTGAGCTTTCCTCCCCCAGGCGCAGCTCTGCAGCCCCTGCCCGCAGCACCCAGCGCCGGGGCTGGCAGAGGAGCCCCCGGCCACCCTCCCGCGTCCCTCGAGGCTGCTGCCCAGCACCACACGGCCCCCCCAGAGCTGCGCCAGGCCCGGGGGTCCCTGCCCCCCCAGCCCCGAGGGGGGCAGCTGCTCTGGGCCGCCCGGCTGCTTCACCCGAGGGCAGAGGAGGATGCAAAGCTGGCAGGGAAGAAGAGGAGGCAGGGCGGGATGCTGAAAGCCCCCCGGGGCCTTGCTTTATGCCAGAGTAATATATATATGTGTACGTTGACAATACAGGAAGGGCTATAAAAGTGTTTTTTGTTTCGTAGGTGGTAGTTAGATGATTACACTGTTGCTTTGAGATAAGTGAAAATGCCTCTAAATGACTAAGTGCCTGCAATTCCCCGCGGCCGCTCCGAGGCGCGGGGAGGGGGGACGCCGTGCTTGGCCCCCACGCACGGGGCCGGCGGCGGGGGGGGGGGGGGGCCCGGGGGGGCCCTGGGAGCGCCCGGGCTGGAGCCGGGGGCCCGGCGGCGCTGCTCGTGGTGGCCGAGACCTGTCGATGCTTCTGGAGAAGGGGTTGGGGATCCACCAAACGGCAACTGTTGACGAATTTTTTTTTTTTTTTTAATTTTTTTTTTTTTTCTGGTCATTTCATAAAACTTTTAAATCCAATAAAGCATGTAGTCTATTTTACGAGCCGACATCTGCTGCTCTCTTCTTCCAACCCTTCCCAGGCTGCTGTCTCAGGGTTGGGGGGCCAGGGCACAGGATACCTGCCAGTGGTGGTGGGGGAGGCTCCCTGAGGGCCCCAGTGCTGCCCCATTCCAGCTGCGGGGGGACGGCCTCGTCCCACTGACACAGCTGTGGAGCCGTACATCCCCCCATACATCCCCCCCTGTACATCCCCCCCCCCACACCGTGCATCCCCCGGCAGGAGCACAAGGAGAACGCGGCTGCCGCGGTGCCGGGCTGGAGCCTCGCAGGAAGGACAGACGGTCGCTGGGACTGGGGTTACAAACACTTCCCTGGAGCCCCCCCCTCCCCGCTCTCCACTCGCTGCAGCCGAAGCCAGTGGGACATTGCCCCCCCCCTTTATTGCAGCAGCAGTAAGTGAGTTGTGTACTCGCAGCCACCCTGGCTTGGGGGCTGCCCCCCCCTCCCCCCATGGGGGACCTTTGAGTTGGCTGCTGGGCCAGCCCAGCACCAGCCCTGCCGGAGCTGCTGGCCCCCGAGCACGGCTTGGGGGGCAGCCGGTGGGGCCCGGAGCCCACCCCGGGGGTCAGCGTGCCATTCCCACCGCCAAGGTGGGCTCAGCCAGCCCCTGCCCGAGGCGGCTGGCGCGGTGGGGGAACGCTGCCGGCAGCCTGCCCTGCCGGGAGAGCGGCGGGTGGGAGCCAGAGACACCCCCAAAACGCTCCCCAACGAGACGTGACAACGGCCCAGGGGCAGGCGAAAGGTTGGAGCGCAGCCCGGGCGGCCGGTCCTGCTCACGGAGAATCCCCTAGAAACACCTTCGGAGCGTGCAGGATGTTTCCAGGAAAAAGAAATCAAATACGTGCTGGGATCAGTGGTTAGCACCCGCCGGGATGGGCGCCGGTGCGCGGCACAAGGTGAGCCCCGTGCAGCCAGCCCCCAGCGCCGGTGTCCCCCGTTGCCAGTGGGTCCCGTCTTCCCGGGGGGGCTCCGGGTGAGGCCGTGGGGTGCCCCGGGGCTGGCATCAGTCCTGGCTGCTGCTGTGGGGCGGCGCAGAGAAGTCGCTGCCGGTCAGGGTGATGGTGAACGGGACGTCGATGACGTCTCCGGCCACGTCGCGGGCGGTGGCCGTTCTCCAGGAGCGCAGGGGCAGGGTGGCTTTTTGGAAACGCTGGGGGGTGGGCATGGGTGAGCCGGGGCTGCCCCGAGCCCCCCCCTACCCCGTGGGGCAGAGGTGGTGTCGCTGCAGGAAGGGGCTCAGACCCCACCGATCCCCCTCCCCCGGCTCCAGCCCCATTTCTCTCTTGGGGAAGGGGCAGCATCGCCTCCGCTCCGTCGCTGGCCTCTCCCGCCCCGTCCCGTCCCCGTGCCCCGTCCCCCCTCGCACACTCACGTCGCTCAGCGTCCCCGACTCGCGGGCCAGGGCCAGGGCGGCCCAGAGCGGGATCTGCAGGCAGGTGAGGACACCCACGCAGACGCCCAGGCTCGTGCCCCACGCTGGGAACTCGTAGGTGCCGTAGCGCAGTGGCGCATCGTCCATGTCCAGGAAGGTGTAGAGGAGCGTGAACTGAAGGGCAGAGCGGGCGGGAGCGACGTGATGCCACCGCACCGCCTGGCCCCGGGGGGTCTTGGAGGGGCTGGGTGCCACAGGGACCCCCAGGGCCACCCCCAAACCCCCCCCTCCAGCAGCCACGGGTTGGCCCGGGAGGGCGCCGGGACTGGGCCAGCCCCGCTCCAAACCCACAGCAAGAGCTGCCCCTCTCGGAGGGAGAGACGGAGGGAGAGGAGCTCTTCTCCCCTTGACCCCCAGCCCCAGGCGGGTGCTCGGTGCTCACCAGCAGCAGGCAGGGGGTAAGGAAGGCCCAGCACACCTTGAAGTAGCCCAGCATGTGGCTGCACCAGGGCGGGCAGCGGCAGATCATGTCCACGATGTCCCGGCAGAACTGGTTCACGCCTGCAGACACCCCAGGAGGGGGGTCACGGCCGAGCCCCTGCCTGCCCCCAGCCCGGGCTGGGAGCCACGGCGGTGCTGGGTGCTGAACATCCGCCAACGCTTTGGTGGGGGGAGAGGCAATTGCATCCCACCCCCCAGCCCAGCACAGAGGGAAAAATGCACCTCAGCTTTGCAGCTCCTCCTTGCAGGGCTGAGCTGCGTGTGGGCAGCAGGACGGGGGTTACCCCCCTGCCCACCCCCAGTTCCGGGTGCACCCTGCAGAGCCTGGCTACCGCTTGCCGTGAGCCTTGGCAGCGTGGTAGCCAAGGGGCTACCCTGCAGCAGTGCCCCAGGGCTGACAGTGCTGCACACCCCCCCCCGGGCGCTGGCTGCACCCCCCACCCCGCGCTGCTCACCGTAGCAGAAGGCGATGCCCAGGCACATGAAGAGGGTGACGATGATCAGCCCAAAGCCGGTGCTGTACGTGTCGATGAGGGTGAACCAGAAGATTCCTCCCTGCGAGGTGGTGGGGGAGCAGGGTCGGCACGGCTGGGGGTGGCGGGGGGGCCGGGCGTGGGGCACCCCATGCCGTGGGCACCCATCGATGGCAGCGCCCGCACGCAGCCCCCACACCCCGTCCTCCCACCTGAGGGGCTTGTGCAGGGCTCGGAGAGGGGGGGGGGGGGGGCTGTTCCCCATCCGCCACCCTGGTGTGGCCCCGGGGGGTGCTGGGGGCTGCTGGATTGGGGGTGCAGGGCACCCCATACCTGGGTGACCAGCGGGAGCCCCAGCAGGTAGAAGGAGGCGCAGAGAGTGCCCAGCAGCGCCGTCTTCCTCCTCCAGTCACGCAGGGCTGGGAACTCGTCCAGGACGGCCGTGGTGATGCCCTCGATGTTCCCGAACTGAGGGACAGGGGATGTCAGTGATGGGGGGGGGGGGAGGGATGCCCCAGTCCCTGCCTCCCCCAGAACTGGGCGCAGGGGATGGTTCTCACAGAGGGGGGACTTTGCAGGGCACTGTCCCCATCCCTGCGACACCGGGGCAGTGCCGGTGGGACGCGGCTGCGTGCCTGCCCCATCGCCTTGAGCGCAGACCCACGTGCGCGGGGCCGTGCACCCCCCAGCCCACCACCACCCCAGCACCATCCTCGCGCCGCTGGCCCACGCACGGCACGCCCCAGGCAGGGTGTACCTGGCACCCCAAGGCCAGGCACGGGGCAGGACATGGGGCTGCCCGAGGTGACAATCACCAAAGTATCCACCCCCAGCGTGAAGAGCATCAGGAAGAAGAGGATGGACCAGAACGGAGAGGCGGGCAGCAGGGAGAGGGCTTCGGGGTACACCACAAACGCCAGCCCGGGGCCTGCGGGGTGAGACGAAGGGAAGCGTGGAAGGACTGGAGAGTCTCTCGTGGCGAGACAGGCTGAGCCCAGGCAGCCGGTAGCCGGGCTGGATGTGAGCTCAGCTGCAGCCCCGTCCCGGCGCAGGGCACCGGGATGTCCCCGGGCACGAGACCCCCCTCCCCGAGCCCCTACCCGAGTCGGCGACGCTGCCGATGGGGACTTGTTTCCTCCAGGCCATGTGCCCCAGCACGGAGAAGATGGCGAAGCCGGCGAAGAAGCTGGTGCAGCAGTTCCCGATGGCGATGACCAAGGTGTCCCTGCCGGGGAGGACGCCGCAGCCCCGCGCCCGTGGGGTGAGGATGGAGCTGGCGGGGGGGGGGCATCCCCCGTGGGCCGCGCGGGGGGCTCGGACCTCCCCGTCACCACCCCGCTCCTCCCCAGCTGCAACCCGGGGGCTGCCCCCACAGCCCCCCAGACCCCCCCCCGGCCCCGCTCACCGGATGACGTTGTTGTCAAACTTGTTGTAGGAGGCCATGGAGAGCAGCCCCCCGAACCCGATGCCCAGGGAGTAGAAGATCTGCGAGGCCGCGTCGCTCCACACCTTGGGGGGGGATGATGGTGCAGGGTTGGGGGGCTGCGGGACTCGCCAGCCCAGCTCACCCCGCCACCCCAGCTTTTTTTTGGGGGGGGGGGGGGATCGCTGCCATCGGGGATCCTCCATCCCCGGCGTGGGGTTACCTGGGCGCTCCGCAGCCTGCTCCAGTCTGAGGAGAGGTAGAAGCGGACACCGTGGAGGGAGCCATCCAGCGTGGCCCCACGGATGATGAGGATGAGGATGACCAGGTAGGGGAAGGTGGCCGTGAAGTACACAACCTGCGCAGGGCACTGCTCAGCTCGGCCCCGCTCGGCCGGCACGGCAGTCCCCCCCCCAACCGTAACCCCCTCACCTTGCCCGAGCTGCGGATGCCCTTCAGCATGCAGAGGAAGACGAGGCCCCAGGCTGCCAGCAGACACAGGGCCAGGGGCCACCGCACGGGGCCGGGGTCCCCGAGGCCGGAGCTCCGCGTCACCCCCAGCACCTGCTCGCTGCGGAACAGGGGGACGCGAGGAACCCTCGGCACCACCACCACGTCCTCGCCCACCCCTCCGCCCTTCCCAACGCCTCCGGCATCACCGGCCGCTGCCTGCGGGGGCTCAGCCCCGGCCCCCCAGCACTGGGGGAGCCGGAGCCGGGGCTGGACCCCCCGAACACGGGCCGAGGGAGGCACACATCAGTGCTGCCATGCAAGGACTTACTTCCAGAAAACCTCGCTGGCGCTGACCCGGCCGGCGCTCCCCGACGTGTTCTGCAACACACAACCCCGGCAGGTCACCGTCACCGCCACAGCCACCGTCCCCGAGGTCCCTCCTTGGCCCCAGCCCCAGCCTGACCCTCCTCTTCTGTTGCAGGCAAAGCTTCTCCCAGGAGAAACCGCCTGCCTGGTTCTTGTGCGGCATCTGGCCCCGCAGCATCCCCCTCCTCAGGGGCTGGACCCCCCAAAACCACTCGCCCGGGGGCCACTGACCTGGCAGAGGTGCGCATTCCCAGGGGCATCGCAGGACCAGGGCAGGGGGCTCTGGAAGGAGGAGCCCAGGTAGTAGAAAGCCCAAGCGATGATGACGTTGTAGTAGAGGGACACCAGGGAGGACACGATGAGCATGGCG